AACTCAGCCACCTCTAATTAATAATCATGTGATTGCCATATGATTGCTGTTATTTTAAGCGCAAATGCATACTAATCTGACTTTGGCTATTAATATGTACTCCCTCTGTAAAGAAATATAAGAGCGTTTAGATCACATATCAGGATGTTGGACAGTTATTTGTGATCTTTGCATCAACTAGAAAGACATATAGTTAGTTTTGGTCGTGTGGTCAAGCATATATCATTTTGTTCACTTCACATCCCAACTTTCGCTATGTGCTCAATAGAATATTTGCTAGTTTCGTGCTCATTTCAGCATAACTTTATTGTAGATGTCATTCCTTTTCTCTTCTTGAATCTGTCTGTCTTTTTTCAAGAACATCCACCTGACCACCTGAGTGCATAGCTTTCTTTAGAAAAGTTGAATTTTTTGGTCTTCATGTTATTGTAAGTCCATACATGCAATTCTTTCTTTCTTTCTTTGATATGAATAATTTCCAAATCAGCCTCAGCTTGTATTCTCGCTTCCACCTTGATACTTACATTTCGATCTCTGTTGATTTAGGGCTCAAATTTCAGTATGGGCCCACCAAGTACTAGTTGAGATTTCAGAAGGAAGGCTTCATGCAGGTTTGTGGCGTTCAGTTGAGCTCAGCAACATCTCGCTGCGCGAGAATCATGGTCGCCATTTGGTGGATCTTATGAGTATGCTGGACATAGCTGTTGCATCTCTGGTGAGCCCGATGTCCCACCATGCTTTGCGTTTTCTCTTTTTTATTTCTCTATGATTAGCCCTTGATTCCTCAAGGATTTGTGGGTGTAATACCCTGCTCCAGTTTCAGGCCAGTTGCGCTGAATCTTAAGTTTCTTATTGTAGGGAGTCAAAGACCGTTATGTAGAGTACAATGCTGTCAGGTGCCACCTTCTACTAGAAATGTAGCTCATCTTCAGAAGTAGGTACTCCAGAATGCACTGGATGCTAAATATAGTTGAATATCAATCACTGTCGTGTTTGATTTTTGTTGATGTCATGGCAAAAATAAAAGTGAAGTGTTGCATCTATATGTCTGTCTTATCATTTTATGTCATGTTGAATGCTATGGATGAACGAACCTTTCTGAATCGTAGGACAAAAACAAACAGTGTTTCTTTTCTATGATGTAGTCCTCTCAAGCAGTATTTATTTTCTGAATCTTCTCATAAGTGTTAGGCATAACATGTTAACCCACTGATAATATGGACTACTAACATTTGCTTT